TTGAGATATTGCCCTTGACTTAAAACGCCTTGAAATTTGTTAAAAATTGTTCGTGAGCAGGATTGAAGCTACAGTTTTCATCCAATTCTGATGAAACTTGGTGTGATCTTTGGAATTCATAAGATCTCGGACAAGTTCTAACTTGACGCATTTTCGATGAACGGTTTTTCGAGTTATTGCCCTTGACTTTGTTAAAATGCGTTGAAAATTGTTAAAAATAGTTCGTGAGCAGGATTGAAACTACACTTTTCAACCGATTCTGATGAAACTTGGTGTGATCATTGGAATTGATAAGATCTCGGACAAGTTCTAACTTGACGCATTTTCGATCAACGGTTTTTGAGTTATTGCCCTTGACTTTGTTAAAATGCGTCGAAATTTGTTAAAAATAGTTCGTGAGCAGGATTGAAGCTACAGTTTTCAACCGATTCTGATGAAACTTGGTGTGATCATTGGAATTGATAAGATCTCGGACAAGTTCTAACAAGAGATATTTTTGATGAACATTTTTTGAGTTATTGCTCTTGACTTTGTAAACATGCGTCAAAAGTTGTTTTTTGCCCTTGATTAGAGCTGTGTGATTTAATTGTTTGTTGTATTTGGGTTATTGATATTGATTTTAAAAAATTTTGTGGAATTTTCAGCATAAATAATTTCTTCAATATGAGAAAATTCGTACTTTAGTCACTATTTCTGACAGCTGCCAGTGGGCGTATGTTATCTTGCAACACAAGCTATCTTGTTATATATTGCCTTACTTGTGAATTGTGTAAATTTCAGTATGTTGGCCAGACAATAACCCCCTTCAATATTAGACATAAAAAACATAGGAGAAACATTAAATTGAAAAAGGTTCATAAAGCTCCTCATATTGCCCCCCATTTTAACCAACCTGGTCATGATTATAAATGCACACTTCTTGAGAAAATTCCAAATGAAAGCAAAAGCAAATTAGACTGTGCAGAAACTCTGTGGATTCATAGACTTGACTCTGTATGGCCGTATGGATTGAATGAACTCAACCCAGGAGGTTTCAGAATTGCTAAATATTAGTGTGTTATATTTAGTATGAGTTATTACCCTTGTTCTTGAAAACGCTTTCAAATTTAGCTCTTAAACACTAAAAGGCATGATTCTTGCTGGATTTTGAAAAAAAATTGGTTTTATTATTCCCGTGCTGAAGATTGAATTTATATAAAAAGACCTCAATAAGTTTAACAATTTATTTTATAGTAACAAAACAATAAAAGAAAAATAAATTAATTAAAACAAAATAAAATAAATTGCATTAAGGGGACTACAGTAATCATGAAAATTTATTACTGGATGATCTGAATTTACAACCAGAGATAAGTAAAATGAATTAGAAGGGAAGATCATCCAGTAATAAACAATAGTAAATTGGGGGAAGAAAGACAAGTCTTTGGGTTAAGAACCAAAAAACCTGTCTGAAATCGCCAAATACAGTATGAAATACTGTAGACCCCAATTAACGAAACAAAACACTGCACCCATTGTCAGTACAAATCTTTAAGAAAGAAACTAAGAACATTATTTATTCCATAATATAAAACCTTTTACATCTAATAACTTGTGAAGGTAACTAGGTTTAAGTTACAGGTATTTAGTAATGGGCTAACTGAATTTGAGCCTTTTGTACAGCATAATCAGAATTTTGGATGTAAGTAGTGTAACACATGGAAGACCATCAGCCAAGGGTTTGAATAAGATTATCTCCTAAGGTAGCATCCTGGACAGAAGTTGCTGCTCCTATACGGAATGAGTGACCATTATAGTGATTCGGGTTTAATCCTAACTGTTGAATCAACCTTTTAACATTACCCACAAAAAAAGCTCTAGACAATGGTTTACCGTCATTTAGAATAAAAAATGGAGTAGGCAGAACAGGACAACAAGTTTTAATTAAAGCTACGTAATTCGTAATTGCCTTAAAAGGGCAAAGATTAGTCCCTGTTTTAAATAACTTAATAACTACACCCTTTTTGTTGTAATCAGCTTTGAAATTTCGTAGGAAAACATTTACACAATTAGACCCATGCCCCACATCACGAAAACACAAATTAATATTAATGTCAAACTCCTTTCTAATGGTCAATTCTCCACAACGTAAGAAACCAAAGAAAGCCATACAAGTAGCTGCTTCTAACATAATACTATTAAACTTATTATTCAGAACACCTTTTCTTAGCAAAGATATAAAATCATTTAAAATTATGTTTGTAATAGGTAAACGTACATTGTTCCTATTTACAACATTAATTGTTTTCTTAATGCTGTTCAAAACCATTTGCAATGTAGGCCACATCTTCCCTGATAATTTTCTAAGGGGGAAATACCAAAGTTCTTAACATAATAAAATCTAATGCCAGCTAAGTATAATTTAATAGTTGAGTATTTCAATTTTAAAGTATGAAAACAGTAGGTAATGAAACTTATCAATAATTGCTCTGAAATAGGAGGCATATTACTTAAGAAAGTCAAATTATTTAACAACAAAAATTTAAAATAACGATCAGAACCAACCTTGTAAGTTAAAAAAGTACCCTTAGATATTGAACTTTGACATAAACTAATTATTTCCTTCTCCAGATAATGGAACTTACTGGAGGACAAACAGTTTTGTGTAGATCTGCATTGGGAGCAAAACTTCTGAACTTTTTCCACTGAAAGCGAGATAAAGCATCTGCAATATTGTTATTTTTAGTTGGAATATAAGAACAATATACAGCAAAATTATTGTTAGCAGCAAGGGTCCTCATAAGTTTCATAAGATAAGGCTGTTTAGAACGACCTTTAGTGATAATGTGAACAACAGCCATATTGTCACAATGAAACATAATTCGTTTTCCCATCCAACAATTACCCCATTAGATAGCAGAAACTACAATAGGGTAAAGTTCCATAAAAGCCATAGATAAAGGGAAATCAACAAAGGTACATAAATCATTTAAGGGCCAATTTTCTGAAAACCAGTGACCATGAAAATAGCCACCAAAACCTAGAGTTGATGAAGCATCAGTATAAAGCTCTAAATCAACACTTGACACAATTTTAGATTCATAAAACATTCCAGTTATCAAGAAATTCTTTCCACATGAGCAAATCTGATTTACACTCACTATCCAATGAACATGATAATAACCTTCACTTACAGAGGCCATTAACTGGTAAAGATATGAAACAAAAGCCCTACCAGGTAAAATAACACGCATCGCAAAGTTCAGATGACCTAACAATCTTTCTAAGTCTTTCCTAGTACAGGATTTAGAAGCCAAAATTGTCTCAATGAACTGAACTATGCACCTTACTTTATCTGTGGGTAATCTGGCTTGCATATTTAAAGTATCAAGAATAATTCCTAAATATTCTAAAACACACACAGGCCCTACACATTTTTTAGTAGATAAAGGTATATTTAAGCGTCAAAAATTAACATCAATAATGCCATAGTTCTTTCTGAACAACAAGAAGTTAAAAAATCATCTTAAAGATGAAAAATTGGTTCAATGCTATAATTATTTGAAGCGATCCAACAAATAGCACCAGCTAAATTATCAAAAATTTTAGAGCTGCTACAACAACCAAAAGCTAATCGTTCACAAAAATAATAAAAACCATTCCATTTAAAGCAAAAACAGTTCCACTCACTAGGATGAATAGGAAGCAGTTTAAAAGCATCTGAAATGTCCACTTTACATAGCCAGGATCCAGAACCATGAGTCTGAATGGACTTAATAACATCATACAATCGAATGTATGAAAGACAGCAGATGATTAGAATTGTGAGGTGAAGATAAATCAATAACTAAACGTTGTTTCAAAGAATACTTGTGAGTTGCAAGGCTTAAAGGACTAACTCTATAATTCAAAAATGGAGTTGTCTTAAAAGGTCCTTTAACAAAGCCTTTTGAAATTTCTAAGACTGCAATAGCATTGTTACGAGCAGATAAAGAATTTTTTCACTCATACGTAGAAATTTCTAAAAGATCAACCAACGTATCAAATCGAAAACTTAAACCATCCCAAAGGAAAGGAAATTCTTTATCAGAATGTAATGAAAGTTCCTGCTCTAAAACTGAAACATTGATAGGGGTAGATGCACACAAGTCAAATTCACATTCTGTATCTTTAACAGCTGGTTCTAAAGGTCATTTAGATTTGCCACTAGGTTGACTAGGATAACTGAGTAGAAGTAACATTTCCTGTAGCTGAAACTGAAGCTTTGTTAGAACTTTTCACAGCACTAGGGCAGTTATTCTTATTATGAGTACTAGATTTACACAACAAACACACGTGTAAATATTTACAGTTTGACCTAGTGCACCCTTTATAGTTAAAACTTCTACAAATTGATCTGCAAACACTGGACATATTCGATTTAAGCACAATGGGTTTACCACACATAGCAATTGAGTGCATGGTGGAAGCACAGTTACTACACAAGTTCACCTTCAAATTTCTCAATTGTGAATCTCCTTTTGACCAATCAATTTTAATGTTTTTATCAGCTAGCAGCATGGCACACTTTGCAGAAAACATCTTGTGATATTTATAAAAACACTTGGGCCAAATATGAGCAGTTTCTATGATATGAGACATATAAAAATCCAATTCTTGGCTTCTATTGGGAAAAACATCACAAATGATTTGTTTATATTTCCCAAAGGCTAGTATAAATTCTAAATACAAGTCTCTACTTAATCTGTCATCTTTCTCTTTTTGTCGACTGGCAATAAATAATTAGGTATCAAAAGCATATTCAAATTAACGTCTTTACCTTCCAAAATCTGGTTTCTAACCTCTGACGAGATTAAGTCCACAGAGGATAAAGTAGTTGGATCAACTCCAAAACAGTTGATTGCCAACTACATTTACAGCACCATCAGAATTGTTGAACTGCGAAGAATAGTTACAGGAACTGGGTACATGGGTAACATTATGGTTGAGATCTGTAGTAAAGGGTGCACTTCTTTGTTTCTCTAAGAGTTTATTAATGGTTCAATAATTCTCGTAAGATGGGGAGACAACTCTTCTGGAGTAAAGTCTTCTTGAGTAGATTGACTAGGAAAGCTAGTTCGAATTCTTTTATTGTTTTTACCAATAACATTGCTGGTTTGAATAGTATAAGGCCTAATATGCCTAGAAATAGTATCAGTAGCAGCCGAATCCTTCTTTTTAGTTTTATTCAGCCAAGATGTAGAAGCCTGACTCTCAGGAACAGGTGTGATATCATCAATAATATCTAATGGATATACCGGAAGTTGCGGCTGAGCACATGGTAAAGGGTCTTGATCTGTCTCCGTCTCACTGCCTTCACTACTACTACCAATTTTACTAATGTCAACGGCGTCATTTAAAAATCTCTTAGGCGTACACCTTTTTCGAGTGCTCTTTCTGTTTTCCATTTGTAGCAAGAGAACAAAGTAAAAGATTATGAAAATTATAAAGAATTGTTACTGCATAAGCTAGAAAATACTGTGCTTCCAAGTAACTAGGTTGTCGTAAACGAGGCTGTCGTGAAGGAGGTTGTCGTAAAGGTTTACAAATTAAGAAAGGAAAGAATGGATGTCTTAACATAAACTACAATTATTTACATAATTTTGAATATTTGCCTTTTAGAGTTTTCACTAGCTAAAAATTAAACACGTTTTCAAGAACAAGGGCAATAACTCATACTCAATATTATTCAGTATCGCCTCAAAAAGTTCAAAAGAAGTGTATGTCTGAAGGTTGAATATATCATACTGGTGATTGTTACTGTACTGCTAAATATTTATGTTCAAAATCAAAGCTGCCAGTGGGCGTATATTACTTTGCCTGGCAAGCTATCTTTTCAGTTTAAGATGTATAAACGGAAAAAACTTGTGTACACTGTATAAATCTGTGTAATAGCAACAAACTAAGGCATAAATACGTAAAATTTTAACATAACGTTAATGAACTAACAATAGAGACATCCAAGAGAACAGCCAATCAGCAATAAGTAGGTCACCCATTTATAGTCTATTGTCTACTGCTTGAAAGTTGACACAGCGGCCACATATAAAGTTCAATTATTGAAAGACGAATTAGTCCATAAATCATGATTTTGTTGATATTTAGAGAGTGCACATTCGAAGGAATTTGGAAAATACGGTAATCATTCAGTGAAGTGTAGATTTAGGCTCTGGTGATGTTCGAAGGAAAGACAATGACCTCAAGTAGTCCGTTAAGGGGCAGAGCTTATATTTACATTCCGTTTACACGGATTTAAACCGAATTCATGTGACCGCTGTTATCCAATCAAATTGCGTGGTACCATGTTAACGGAATCGTGATTTAATTATTAGACTTTAAATGATTTGTTTCGAGATAAACTTAGGTTTTTTTTAAGAGTTTCCACAAAAATTATCGATTGCAAAGTTGTGCTTCTGTGCTACATTTAGCTCTAGTTTCCTTTTAGTAACATGTTTAATGGTTCAATAGATGTCTCATAGATATGAAGAATGCACACTTCTCACCAGAATTTGATATAGAGCTTTTAGTTTTAAATATAAATTTCAGAAGTTCAGATGATGCATTGAAAGAGAAAGATACAGAGAAAAATAGAAAGAAGAAAGAAAAAATGTCACATATGAAATATTTATGGGATACAACAACTATTCCTGGACTATCAAAAGTGAAATTAGCACCTTTCCTTTTTCTTAAAATTGCATGGTGCATTGTATATGCAGTGTTTGTGTATTTTACTGTTTCTAATATACGAAGTAGTGTTGTTAGATACTTTACTTATCCTTTAAAAACACTGACTTCTGTTGGATACAAGTAAGTATTACAATAACTATTGTCTCACTTTAATCTAGCCTTATTTATCAAAGGGAAAGAGTTTTAAACATTATATTCGAAGATTGAAGTATGAATGCACATGGTAGATCAATGACCTTTGACCTTTGAAAGTAAATTGTAAAATCATTTCTATTCTGTTAAAAGCCAAAAATAGACCTACCTTTATCACAATTTGACCCAAGTAGTGATCTATTTTCTTGCATAAATTTATAGCTGAAAATGCGAGCTCTGACAAATTGTAAATATCTTCATAAATGTGACTCTAACCAGGATGTGCCAATAAATTTTGCCAGGACTGTTATCATGTGTATTATGTTGTATGTTCAAAATTTCAAGTAAAGGCTGAATTTATGGGACAAAAGTTAACTTACGCACTTTAGAAGTCGGTATCAAATTTTAAAAATTTTAAAAGCGTAATGTAGGTTAAAATATCAGGTGTTATATACCATTGAAAAGAAAAGATTAAACGTAATAAAGATGTAAAAAAAATGTTGTCGTATGTAAATTAGAGCTCTTTAAAGTTGGAAATTGCAATTTTCAAATGGCGGTAAAATCGGAAGTGAACATCACACAACAAAAGTGAATACATTATTGGATAGATTTGTTCAGGTCACAAGGTCACAAGATCACAGTCTTTAAACATTAGACAATTACTGTTCTAGAGATATCAAAAATCGTGCAAAGCAGACTTAACCCTGAGGTGTCTGACACGTTACTTTCACGTCGGATTTTATCATTTTTATACGCCCACATGAAATGACAGACTTTAATGAAACTTAGTATGTGTGTTCGAAATCACCCAAGGATAAACCCTATTGAAAATCAGCGAAATTGAAAAACATTTAGCATGAGTTATTGCCCTTGTTAATTTTTAGCTCGTAAACACTCTAGAAGGCACAATTCTTGACAGATTTTGACGAAACTTGGTATGAGTGTTTGTAATCACCCAAGGATAAACCCTATTGAAAATCAGCGAAATAAAAAAATATTTAGTATGAATTATTGCCCTTGTCATTGAAAACGTGTTCAATTTTTAGCTCGTAAACACTCTAGAAGGCACAATTCTTAAAGGATTTTAACGGAACTTGTTATGAGTGTGTGTAATCACCCAAGGATAAACCCTATTGAAAATCAGCGAAATCAAAAAATATTTAGTATGAATTATTGCCCTTTTTCGTGAAAACACGTTCAATTTTTAGCTCGTAATCACTCTACAGGGCACAATTCTTGATGGATTTTAACAAAACTTCGTATGAGTGTTTGTAATCACCCAAGGATAAACCCTATTGAAAATCAGCGAAATCGAAAAATATTTAGTATGAATTATTGCCCTTGTTTTTGCAAACCGTTCAATTTTTAGCTCGTAAACACTCTAGAAGGCACAATTCTTGACAGATTTTGAGGAAACTTGGTATGAGTGTTCGTATTCACCCAAGGATAAACCCTATAGAAAAATCAGGGAAATCGAAAAATATTTAGTATGAATTATTGCCCTTGTTCTTGAAAACGCGTTCAATTTTTAGCTCGTAAACACTCTAGGAGGCACAATTCTTGACGGACTCTACAAGTCACAATATTTTTGTTCATAATCACAATTTACAATAGATGTCATTATTTTCCTGAGAAACTATTTTAGTTAACAAATAAGAAAATTTAATTTAATCATTTAACATGTCCCTAACCAGCCACCATACATGTACAGCATCATAAGATACTATAAATAGACCAAGTGGAAAATCCAAGACAGATATCCAATCATAGCTTAGTCATGTGACATCCCAAGATGCAGCAGGTTATCTGATTTCATTTTATAAATGTCATTCAAGTGAAAAGGTTTGCTTAATCATTTCATTTTCACCAATTGTGCTGATACAAAAATGAAATTAAACATGGGTCATAGGGGAAAGGTTTTGTTTCTTGGAAGATTGAATTGAGTTGTTGGATAAGTAGGCTACTATAGGCATAGGCTACTATAGGCCTATAAATGAGTTTGTATGTCAGACTGCAATATTGTGGTGGCTGTGTTTTGCCAACTTGCCCACTACTTTTAAATAGTCTTTTACAACTTGCCCACCACTTTTAAATAGGCCTAATGAGCTTATGTCAGACTGCATTTATTGCTTGAATATAATCTGCAAATACACAATTCATGACAGACTTATTGAAATCACCCAAGGATAAATCTCATCAAAAATCTTGTAAAACACGTAATTTTTATTCTACAAAGCAGAAGTCTAAAACAAATTTGACAACTTGATGAAATTGATCACAATCAAAACTAAACCTTTTGAAATATAAAATACAAATTATTGCCGTTATTCTTACAAATGTGTTTGATTTTTAACTTGTGATGGCACAGTTTGTGATGGATTTGGGTATAAGTTGAATATTTCCTGGTGTCTATGTTTGCTATTTTCTAACAAATATACAATTTCAAACAAAGCTATCAGTGGGCGTACATTACCTTGCCTAGCAAGCTATCTTGATATCTTTCTTTGATATTGAGTTAATATATATAGTGGAAAAACTCAACTTAAACAACTAACAGTAATTATATATATCAATGAATTTGATCTTGACAAATTTTTATTTAAATGGGATGAAAAGTGTGTTCACAGACAAATTTTGATTTATTAACTAAGTTCTAAGTCCTAAATTCAGCAAAAAATCGTCCAATACAAACTTGACCAAGATCTCATTGTAAAAGATGATCACACCAAATTTCAATGAAAGCGGATGAAAGTTTCTGGGCTGCTTATTTATTTTTTTCCCAGTCAGACATTTTTGAACGATGTTTTTTTTTTTTTGGAAGGGGGGAAGTTGATCTACTACTACTAGGCCTATAAGTATTGTATGTGGGGCTATAAAGCATTTTTTTTCTCCCACATGAAATGGGGGGCGTATATTGCTGTCACCCACTTCCGTCCGTCCATCCACAATTGCTCGTAAAGACTCTACAAGACACAATTCTTGATGGATTTTGACAAAACTTGGTTTGAGTGTTCATAATCACCCAAGGATGAACCCTATTGAAAATCAGAAAAATCGAAAAATATTTAGTATAAGTTATTGCCCTTGTTCTTGAAAACGCGATCAATTTTTAGCTCGTAAACACTCTTGAAGGAACAATTCTTGATGGATTTTAACGAAACTTGGCATGAGTGTTCATAATCACACAAGGATGAACCCTATTGAAAATCAGAAGAATCGAAAAATATTTAGTATGAGTTATTGCCCTTGTTCTTGAAAACGCGTTCAATTTTAGCTTGTAAACACTCTAGAAGAAACAATTCTTGCAGATTTTGACGAAACTTGGCATGAGTGGTTGTTATCACCCAAGGACAAACCCATTGAAAATCAGAAAAATAAAAAAAATAATTAGTATGAGTTATTGCCCTTGCTATTGGAAACGCGTTCAATGTTTAGCTCGTAATCACTCTAGAAAGCACAATTGTTGACAGATTTTGATGAAACGTGATGTGAATGTTCGTTATCATCCAAGGATGAACCCTATTGAAAATCAGAAGAATCGAAAAATATTTAGTATGAGTTATTGCCCTTGTTCTTGAAAACGCTTTAAAATTTAGCTTTTAAACCCTAAAAGGCATGATTCTTACTGGATTTTTACAAAACTTGGTTTCATTATTCAGTCCCTTGCTGAAGATTGAATGTTTGCCTTCTAGAGTTTTCACGAGCTAAAAATTGATCAATATTATTCAGTATCGCCCTAAAGAGTTCAAAAGAAGTGTATGACTGAAGGTTGAATATTTCATACTGGTGATAGTTATTGTACTGCTAAATATTTTTTTTCAAAATCAAAGCTGCCAGTGGGCGTATATTACCTTTCCTGGCAAGCTATCTTTATTGTCTTGTTTGCACTTATATTATCTTTACATAATTTAATAAAACAACTATAATACAATAACAAATACACAACATAACAATTAACAACATTTTATAGTAATATTGATGATGTTTACCTTTATAAAGATGACGATTTTTAGTCAATTTCCACCGACAGATTACGACTTCTGGGTTGAAAGTTTTCAATCGGGCACCCGTTTAATGAAACTCTCCTGAGCTGGTCCAGTGGTGAGATGGAGAGGCTACATCATAAACGTGTCTTGATGTTTTGAAGTGAAAAACCTCTCTCACACTCTGCACTGGATACTGGCAAAATGCATCTTATCATCATACCCGAGTACAGTGAGGGAACTGGTGAGTCAATGAGGATTGAACACACTTCTCCAACAGTTTGGAGAATGAGAGTTTCTTATAATTTTCGAAAATAGGTGTCCTAAGTATGAGCCATTTTTGGGGGTCAAAGAAACTAAAGGCACCCATACTCTCGAAGTTATCAATTATTTTCCCCACAATTTCGTTAATTTTTTTCATGAGGGTGCCATCATGTACAGTCCTTTTCATTGGTTCATTCATGAAAGTATCCGCATCCTCAGTATCCTCCATGAACTTCCTGAATTTCAGCCCATATACAGGGGAACTGGTCATGTAGGTAGATTTCATGGAGGAAATGAAACTTTTAACAAGCCTAGACATTTCGTTTCAAGTCTGTAAACTTTTACTGAGGATATTGATGGCAGGAAACAAATCTTGTAAAAAAGTTGTTAAGAACAGAAATTTTTATGTTGTGAGGTGGACGCATAGTGAAGTGGCAGTAATGTCATAATCATATGTCTCATCTAACATCTTTAGTAGTGCAGGCAAAGTTTTGACGAAGTTCTCGATTGCTTGGGTAATCGACAACCATCGAACCTTGTGAACCTCACAGGGCTTCACCTTAGGTTGGTCCAAAATGTCCTGCCAGACCTTCAATTTGGACAGCTGTTTAGGCGACCGACAGAAAAAAATCCTACTTAGCTATTTCTGGTACATTTTTGGCCACGTCAACAATGACAAGAGCAAGTCTATGGGAGATTTCTCTTTCAAAAGGGCTGCAACGCCACCTTTATTTCCCAGCATAACAGCTGCCCCATCATGAAACCTTTGTGTTCTCAAACAAATTTTGACACAATTTTACTAAGTCAAGGGCAATAATTCAAAAACAGTTCCATAGAGAGGTTGAGCTAGAAGCTGTATTGTCATTGTTAATTTTTTATTGCGTTCTTTCAAACGCACTGCTTTGTTTTCGAAATGACTTTTATTTATTGTGGGACTTTGCTTCTGATATAATTTTGTTTTATGGTATAAATCGAAATTCAGAATCAGGGTTTGATCAAATTGCATAAATGTGATGTCTATGGAATCATTGGAGACCGATTATTGAATTTTGGTTGTGGTTTTTTTTTTTGTGGAAAGTCCCAGTTTGTTATTAAAATGTCAATTCTTTTTTTCTCTTTTTTTTTTTGATTTTTAAACACCTTCCTGTGCTAAGACTGCAGTATTTGCAACAACCATAGACCTTCTATATAGGCGACGATGTGCATAAATATAAATTGGAACATTTTTGCAAAACCGTAAGTGCCACAGTTCATCATGTGTAAAAAGGAGAAAAAAGGCTTTAGAGGTCGCATTTTTGGGTAGATTTTCCTGGGGTTTTCAGTTTTACAATCTACCTGTAACTTCTGACCTTATAGCACTTGAAAAATTACAAAATTACAAAATTAGTAACTCACTTTCAAATTTTTCAATTTTTTTGCAACTTTTTTGTTTTTGCATCGAAAAATGGGGCCTCTATGAAAAAATGGACGTGTATAATTTTTGAATTTCGCTTTTCCTTTTTTGCAACTTCTGGTTGAAGTTTTTGCAAGTTTTATCTTGTGACTTTGACCTTTGATGACCATGACCTTTATAAGGTTAAAGGTCTTTGATCTTGGCTATCAGTTGATACTTTGACCTTAGACCTCCGACTTGTACTTTCGGTTTTATAGCATTCCGAAAACAGCCAAATTCACAACTTTAAACTGTTCTACCATGTGACCTTATTAACCTTAATATGCTTTTCATGCTCTTTCCAGTGATATATTACAATCATTTTTTTAAAGCAAATTGGGAATTCGCGAATTTTCAAATTTGAATGTTCTTTTACAATATATATATATGTCTCTTTGAGCTTGGTGTATGTGTATCTTATGACCTATTTGATGTAGAACCTAGAAATTTGGAACACAATTAGACATTTTGAAGATGAATTCACCAATGACAAAAAAGTTGAGGTGGGCATGGCACATTCGGGTTGAATTAATAATTATTGGGGGCAGGGGCATAACTCGCATAGGATACATTTTTCATAAAGGGACTTTGCACACAATTACCTCATCCTTTTGGCCAGTTTGTGTTAATAGCTCAGTTGTTTCAGCTTTATAGTTCCAAAAATAGAAACGGGTTTTAAAATTTCCATATTTTCAATTTTTGTTTTTGACCTTTGTTGCCTTTTGTTGACATATATCTTTTGACCTGTATGATGTAGAAGCTTGAATTTGAAACACAACATAACTTCAGAATATCAATTAACTTATGCCAAAAAAATTAGGTGGGCGTGACACATCTGGGTTAAATTACTCATTATTGACATTTTTGGCCAAGGGCGTAACTCGCAAAGAATTTATCTGATCAAAATCAACTTTGCATACAATTACCTAATCCTTTGAGCCACTTTGTCTTAGAAGTTAGGTTGTTTCAGCTTCATAATTCAAAAAAAGGAACAGGTTTTGAAAATTCAACATTTTCAATTTTTGACCTTGACCTTTGATGATCTTGACCTTTATTGGGTCATTGACCTTGGCTATCAGTTGTTTTCAAATTTGACCTCTGACATCTACTTTCGGTTTTATAGCAATCCAAAAACAGCTCTAGCTTGAGACCTAATTAACTTTGAGGGTTAATTTTTATGGATTCTGAATGTGCTCATCTTGCTCTTTCCAGTGATATATAATGCATAATTTAAATTGATGAATTTTTGAAATTTCAGTGTTTTTACATTATTGCAGAAAAGATAAGACTAAAATACAGATGTCTAGGTAAACTTTATTGGCAGTGATATGGCACAGCTGATTAAAAATATATATATAAAATTCATTTTTGATTTTGGCTGCCAACATGAAAAATGGCAAGCCAACCAGTTACCAATATAATATAGATAATGATATACACCAAAATTATTGATTGATCATAATATAGTATTAAAGTCAGTTCTTTTACTGAATCCATATTTTAATTTAAAACCATGAAACCATCAAAATATTTTTTAAAACCATAAAACCATCAAAATATTTTTAAATCATCCAAATATTTTAAAACCATAAACCATCCAAATATTTAAAACCATAAACATGTATACATGCTTGACCCTGAGTGTACAGGGGTCAACAAGCATTGGACTTGGGCCTGAGCTCCAACAGCACTCCAAATCCGATTTTATGATCAACTGAGTGTTGTTCTAAATGCCACATCAGACTTCTTAGATCAGATCTTGAGAACCTGCACTGTCTGTATATAGATGAAGAATATTTGATGATACCCACTCTCTTTCTGGAAAATATCTCACCCCATTAAAGTTCGATAAAAATAATGCCCACATATTTAAATCTTCTCTCATTTCGTTACTGATTCTAATAAAATGATAAGATTTTTTTACCCCAGACATAGCGTCATAGAATCTTCTATTGAATGGTCTGGCAGATCTTATTGCCTTGCCAAAAAAATTTAACATTCCCACAAGTGATTGGAGCTCATTTAGTTTTACTTTTTTTCGTGTTAGGAAATAGTCAATTTTAAATTTCAGTTGAATTAGTTTTTCTTCAGGAATGCAAACTTGCAATTTGGATGTGTCGATACCCAATCCCAAGAAAACTAACTTTTTTGTTGGCCCTTCAGTCTTTTCTTCAGATAAAGGTATTCCTATTTCATTACACATAGATTGGAAGACATCCATCAATGCCTTACATTTATACAGACACTTGCAGAAAAAAATAAAATCATCCAAATAGTGGTCGACTCCAGTTTGTTTTGATTTTGAAATTATAAGCCAATTTAGAAATGTTGATAAAGGTTCGAAAATAGAACATGAAATTGAACAGCCCATTGGAAGACATTTATCTACATAGTATTTGTCCATGAATTTGAAACCCAAAAGATCAAAATCTAAAGGGAATACCCTTAAAAGCCGAAAAGCTGACTTAATATCCATTTTTCCTAAATAGGCATCTTAAAATGTCGCTGATTAGTGTGCTTGTAGTTATGTGATCCTGAATTTGCTTGATTTCTGTATTGGGAGTTGTGTTGTCTGTTGTTAGCGGATGAATATCTGAAATTGGAATTCATTTTCTTGAAGTTGCTATTTATTGAACCATTGCTATTAATATATATTTTTGGATGATCAGAGTTACATTGTATGCAGGTATGTGTGTATTGACAGTTTGTGATAAAACATGATCCTTTATTATTATATTCAAATCATTTTCCAGTTGTAGAAAAACCTGAATGAAATTTATTTGCAGTTTGAAATTTTGGATTATTGGTATTATTAGCCATATATATTAGCCAAAGCTCATAATCAACATTACCCCATGAGCTAGTAGGGTCAGCGGCTTTTCTTAATCTAAATTTCCATCCCATACCCCTGGATCTAGAGGCCCCTAAGCGCACAGATCTCATATATTTGAGAAGATCTTGAGATTTACAAGGATGTGCAGAAATGTATATACTCATAAATATGATAAATGCATTCGTCCACTTTTCTATATCTAATATCTTAGATGATATCTTCTCTTTAGAAATTAGCTCCCCAGTGTGACTTATGGATAGGGGTCTTTCAGGCTCCTTAGTTGTGGTCCTTAGCATAAGTGCTAAATCCACATATTCACCCTGACATATCTTTTGCCTTGTTGATAGGGGTACATTGCATCCAAGAATACTATGTGTACTCTCAACAGGATCTGGTGTGTTAATAACAGTGGAAATGACAGTTCCACTATTCTGCTGACTATCGTCAGCAGCAATTAAAGGAGTAAGCCCACAATCAAAGTTTACAGGCCCCTCAATATTAGAAGCATTAAACACATTACCTGGATCCCCCAAGGGTAAAATTGGTGTTTCATTATTGACATTATTTGCTGTGTCTGTATCTACATAACTAACATCATCATTTCCATTAACAACAGTACTTGTAGTAGGCCTTGTCACCTTGGCACCATTATCATCTTGAATATTATTTGTGGCATTTCTGGGTCTAGGTCTAGCATATGGACTAGAACTGGTACGAGTAGATGATCTGGTACTCTTAGCATTTGGTACTTTCTTGGACCTTCCTTTTCCCATGCTCAGTAGTGACAGTTAGGAAAATAGAAAATTAAATACAGATTTTTTTATCTTAGACTATATTTGACTATCAAAATCGACTTAGATTTTAAGTTTCAAAATAATTTATTTAGTTTTGAAGTTTTTAACAGTATTGAAAAAACTAGACTTAGGCTTAAAGTGACAAACTTTTGAATTTTAAAGCCGTGAGACCCCAATTCTTTGAAAGAGCATGGGTCCTAATCAATAATTAAATTCTGATAAAATCTATGCCATCCACTTCTTATTTCCTTATCTATCCAAATTACTTTGAAAGTAAATGCTGAAGGAAGCTTAAACAAATTTTATTTTGGTTGGATTGACAATTAAAGTGTTGAATTTTTCAAATTTCTTTGCAACAAGAAATCTAACCAACCTCTCTGATGGCTGATTTATCAAAGAGGAAGTTATAGGCTCTAAGCTACCCCCTGTTAGAGATTTAACTAGGCTTAAAAGGAGAAACTAACTGACTAGGACTGTGCATCTTTAATCTGGATAATCTAATCTATTTAAAGTGATGATGTATTGTATTATGATTTGCTTAAAGTAGCTGTGTTAGAATGTAATATAATCTAGTTAATGATGAGTATGTTTTTTTGAAGTAAATAAAGCAAGGTATCTCTCAGCAATAAATTCATCTATTGAATATACAATAGATGTGAATATTTTCACTTCTTTGAGCTGGGTGTATGTATATCTTATGACCTATTTGCTGTAGAAGCTTGGAATTTGGAACACAACGAGACATTTTAAATATGAATTAACTTATGACAAAAAAGGTCAGGTGGGCGTGGCACATTAGGGTTAAATTACTTATTATTTACATTTTTGTCTGCGGTATAACTTACATAGAATACATTTGTTGTTCAAAACAGGACCTTGCACACAATTACCTCATCCTTTTGGCCAGTTTGTGTCAAAAGGTCAGTTATTTCAGCTTTGAAGTTCAAAAAAATGGAACAGGGTTTAAATTTTACATATTTTCAACTTTTGACCTTTACCTTTGATGACCTTGACCTTTGTAGGATTGAAGGTATTTGACCTTGGCTAAAGATTAATACCTTCATATTTGATGTTCATCGTCAACTTCTGGTTTTGTAATGTTTGTATTTTCAAAGTTTGATGACTCATATCTAGTGACCTTGACCTGAACTGACCTTTCCCTTAACATGGTCAAAGGTCATTGACCTTGGAAATCTAATCATACTTTTATATTTCATGTCTGACTTCTACTTTCGCTTTCACAACCTTCCAAAAAAAAAAACATTTTGACTGCTTTAGCACGGCTAAGAACGTTGATTTTTTCAGATTCTCTAGCAAATTAGCACATGAGCAAAGCCCCACTCAGTACCACGAGTGGTTCTAGTTTTTTATTTCTTTCTGATTCTTGTCATGCTACCCAGCCAAAACTGCACACATCACACATTATCCCACATGATCATCAGGATTAAACATTTTGAAGATGGTTAAAAAAATCTTTTTGCAGTGTGTTGGAATTAATTATACAAAGAAGGTAATTGACAAAAATCGACATATGTGTAAATGTTCAAGCGCCATCTTGGTTTTCTTTAAATTGAAAATTATGTAAATAATTGTTGTTTATATATACGAAACTCTTATTTTACGACAATCCCCACTTTAGACCTACTCGCGGCTTGTCATCATTCTTTCTTTCGGCCACGTTTTTTCTTGACCGCAAGTCGCTATACACAATTACTTACCTGTTTCTCAATTTTTTATAACTCGACGAAGTGGAAGGAAAAGGTCAGCGCCTAAACGTTTAGAAGGGGTGTCTGATTCAAGCGAAGCTGACTCAATTCAATGCGTTCAAGAAAATTTAGGCCTATTATCGGAGCCAACTGGCAAGCTGGGAAGCGGAGCAGTTTTAGCTTCCGTCTGGCTTACAGTTACAGCCCCCTGCGGCACCGAAGAGAAGAATTGCTTCCAAGAATTCAACTTCCCGTCCATCAATCTCAGATAATCTTAAATCTATTATTAAAGAAGTGTGTGCGCAAACTGTGAATGAATTACTGGAGACAAGATTAGGCCTTACTACTGGTATGTTGCACAAGGGCCCAATTACTACTTCAAGCAACAATGATAAGAACCCAACAGTAGTCAGCAGTGCTCCCACTCCCAGTGCTTATGCTTCTGTGCCTACTGACGATAGCAGAGCTTCATATACTGCTGTTCCCAAGGCAGTTCAGTGTTTGCTCATTCCTTATTAAATCCTAGGTTACTACAGAATGCTACAGTTACTCAAGAAACCCAATATGGAGTTAATCCTGCCACCATTGCAGCTGTTGATTTGGTGTCCCCAGATATTAGAAGTAACATTCTTTCAGGTAAAGATGTTAACCTTAACTCTCTACTTATTTCTATCTACATGCTTCCTTCCGAAAAAGATGAAAGGACGTCTAGAAACCTAACTTTAGATGAATTCATTTTGGCTTTCGGTGGCTACAAACGAATTTTGTGTTCAGTGTTCAGAAGAACTAGACCTCTACTTGCCAAATATTATCGAAACAATTCATATTTGGCCGAGTAAATTTTTTGAGTATCATAAATTGTTTTCCGCTAAATGTGCCATGTTACTCTTACAAAGAAATATTAAGGTGGATTGGTCTCAAGGTGATATTGGATTGCGATGTTTAATTGGAAAGGATGCTTCAAATCCTTTTGTAAATATTTACATGTTTGTAAGATTTGTATATCTCCCAACTATGGTAAAGTGAAATGTGAGCGTAAAGTCTCCCGTAATTGGTACTTTCGCGTGCATGAACTCTTACTTGAGCTTGGCTTCAAGCAATCTGAGGTAGATTTGGGACTTTTTATGATGCACTCAAATGATAAGTTAGAAGGCTTAGTTATGATGCATGTAGATGATTTTATTTGGGCTGGATCTCAAAAATTTGAAACAAATGTCATCCAAAAGTTAAAACTTGCGTTTATGATTGGTAAACAAGCCAGGCGAGCCAAGCGAGGGGGGCAATTTAGCAAAGCACCTTGACAGACGCTTAAACGTCGGGAAACAGACTTACATGGAGTATTTTAGATTCAAGATTATTTTTGTTGAAACACACAAGTTATAATACGTTACATTTTTATTGCCGTTTTACTTTAAACGTAGTCAGGTATGTTTTATGGCAAAACGTTGAACAACTACGTCCAAGTTAATTTTCTGGGTACGCTTCCTGTTGAAGGCAAGAAGAACAAGATTGCGCTGGGGAAGCTGAGTCATAGATCGTCATTGTGTTGAGTCAATGCGAGTAAGAGTTGAAAAGCTGCTTTCACACACAGTGGTACTAGAACCGAATGTGGCAACGCTTGCAGCCAGTGCATATAATTTAGGAAAACCAATTTCTGCTCGTATAGTTTTTGAAGAACAAGATTGGAGTCCTGATTTTCTGTCTTGACAACGTTATCTTGGAGAATTGTTTTGACACCTCAATTGTTATGCTTCTCGAGGCCCTTTCCAGTATCACCTACAGCATGCTTCCAATCTGTGTAGCCTTCAGTGATGAATTTTTATGCACCCGCAGATGTATTGTGAAACACCCGACATGGAAATCAAAAAGGGGCGTTCCTTGACACTGAATACTCCAGCCATGGAAATCGATCATACCAGCTGTTACTAAAATGGCGCCCAGACTTCGCTGGAAATTTTATTCTCGGTTGCTTTGGAACGTCTTCTTTTCCAATGTCACCTGGTACTCCTGTCTTTTCAGAGCATCTTGGTACTGCATCCGTTGTGTTGCCCGCTGTGGTTTTGATACCAGTTTCAGTCGTAGTGTCGGAACCATCAAGCAATTTGTCTTTTTTGATCAAATATTTATCCATTTTTCATACGTTTGGTTGTTTGATTCATATGAATACAATTTAGGTTAATATATGTCTATTAGTTAGTATTTATAATCAACCAATCAAATCTTTTGAATTTTGAGACGGGACAGATTACAATCCAGTATCAGACCAAAAATTTTGTTACCAATGACGCTTTACTGCAGACTTTTTATGATTTTCAACGAACTCAATTGTATCAAATTATCTATTCTAATGTAATTAAATTTAAAAAGCTATGATGTCTGGTTTCATCCTCAACTCAGAATAAATAAAAAGATATTTAAAAACAGTTCTAGGCCTACAGATAGGAATACTTAGTATTTTGTTGAACCATTTCGCATAACGCAGTCCTGAAAGCCATAACCTTATTTTTACGTTACGTATAATCAAAATATAGCAGCTAACTGGTGCATTTACTCCACCATAAAATGCCTGACCAGAATGACCACTGTTTGCTATTCACTCAAACTCAGTTACCTGCCGCTCCTATTGACTCAGGAAAAAGAAAAGGTGTATTTTAAAAAAGTGACAGGTACATTTTTCTAGGGGGGGCAAGATTTGATTTATGGGGGGCAAAGCCCTCCCATGCCCCCCCTTGGCTCGGGCCTGAAACAAGCCTGTGGCATTTTTACATATATTGGCCTCGAAATTACACAGGATAATAACAAAATTATTTTAGATCAGTTTTCTTATATTCAAACTTTAAATCCAATACCAATAAGCAAAGAAAGAATTAATCAAAAACATGCATCTTTAAACAAGTCTGAACTTAGACAATTGCGAAGTATAATAAGTCAAACTAACTGGGTCACAAGTCAGACACGCCCTGATACAAGTTATGAATCTTTGGAATTGTGCATTTCAGTGAAAGATCCAAAAGTAGAACATTTGATTGCAGCAAATAAGCTTATTAAGAAGTTAGAATTAGAAAATAGCTCTATAATTTTTCCTAAATTGGATTTGTCAAATGTAACGTTAGGTTTATATTTGATGCTTCTTATGCAAATTTATCTGATGGGGTATCCAGTGCAGAAGGTTTCATTATATTTCTTATTGATAGTGCAGAAAATTGTTGTCCTCTAGCATGGAAATCAAATAAGATCCATAGGGTTGTTAAAAGTACCTTTAGCTGCTGAAAC